GCAGATTTTAAGGCAATGTTCATCTTTGATAAGTAGTATTCTACAGTACTTTGATCATCCTATTCTATACTATTTTTTTCTCCACATATGTATCTATATGTGTATGAAACCAATACATGATAAAGACTCCTCTAGAGTTAAAATATCTAAATATTCTGTTAATAAAATAATTTTAAACTTCACTGCTCTTCCTATGCATAAGAAGCTCTACTGAATTTAGTTAGAATAACCTAAGTAGAATTAAAGATATGCATCATGTCACGCCTGAAACTTTATAGCTAAACTCTTACAATGTTCATCATGCCTCTCACTTACACAGATTCTAACTGAATAAATCTAATTGATTTTTATTTTCATTTGTTTATCTATTCATTTTGATTTTTATTAGCTTTCGAACCATGACTAGGAATATTAAATATTCATAATATTCTTTAGGATTTTTTTAAAATATCTAAATATATTTGGGTTTATAAATCTATTTATAAAGATTTACCCATTATCCCATCTCTTTAGTTTTGAAGAACTGATCTCCCATTACAAACGTACCTGAAAATCTCAATAGCATTTACAATATTTATGTGATTATTTCTAAACTGTAGTTTGCATGACTTTTGGGGGAATAGTAGTGAGTAACTTCTGTTTGAGATTAGGCTTGTGAACATAATCATAGCAAGCAGACTGGTTTATACTTGTTTACTGTCTCTGCTCAGATATTAATGACTTATCTATTTTCCTGTTTCTGCTGCAAGTGTCATAGGAAAGAATGTGTAACAGAGGATTTTCTGATTATTGTTCAATATTTGTTGCACAAAACTGGATTGTGTTGGTGCTTTCATTGTGCATTTCACCCTTTTAACATCTGTTATGGCCCAGAAGGCAGTTTGAACTTTGTGTGACTTCCAGCTCCTCTCATCAGGGAAAATGACACTTCAACAGATGTAGGAAATGAAATAATGATGACACAAAGACTATTTTGTCTAACTAAAAATAAAACACTCTGTAATCTATAAGACAGAAATTGAAGAAGGAATTCATAATAATTCAAATAAAACCTTAGAAATTTAAATCAGAACTGTATTCTCTACTGACAAATCCAAATTAAAGTTAATGTGATGAAATGAAAGTTCATTTATACTGAACTACTTAATTAATTGTGAAACGTTCTGCCAAGCAATTATAAATGTAACATCTCTCAGTACTGTCATACCATGGAGAAGTGAGGCTTTATGATTTATTAGTAGTCGGCCCACTAGAAAATTGAAAATAACCAAATTCTTTAGGGTTTTAATTTTTGTTTATTGTCTTTGCAGATGCAGTTTGTCTTTCAGATGTTTTTCCAAAACTTGTGGACAAGCATTCAAGGCCATTGAATGGAAGAAGGATATCATTAGGCCAGTTAATATACCTTTATTCATAAGAAAACAAGTAGGGCTGCATTGTTTACAGAATATAGGATATTAGGAAAGGATAAATAGGAAATTAAACTGTTAAAAATGGATAAAAACCCCCAAAAAGTACACTTAAATGAGAAAACATTAAATGAATTACATTCGAATAGTCTATTTGGATTAATTTTAGTGTAGGTTCTCACACACATAGAAAAAATTATTCTTTAGCATTCTCTTGTTCCCAAAGGATTACAAATGCATTAGATGGTTTTGAACACTACAGTGGCTCACCAACTTTACAAGCTCAACAAGAACATCATATCTTTTTAAGGACAGGATGATAGGATTTTTTCCCCATAGATAGTTCACTTGGATATAAGAGAGATGTCTTAATATGTGGTAAAATACTATTTTTTCCCTAAGATTTCATTGTGAGTTTTCTGTTTAATGATGATAATTTAAATAACTATGTCATTATCTATAATGGTCATCTCTTGTGTAATATTTGACCACATGCCATTCCCTCTTCAAAGATCTAAAGTGCTGGAGTATTCTTTGTTTATGTAAAAGAAACAATAGTGTCTTAGATGACTTAAGATATCTCCAAACATGGTTCCCATTGGGTTATTCCATGTCTCAAGTGCAAACAACTTTAAATAGACTTTAATTCAACTTTATTATATATTGATTCTTAATGGAGTTCTTCAGGGCAGAGGTGTATTGTTCCCAGTTATTTGATTCGTCACAGAAATGGCTTAGATCAGACTTTTGCTAATGGAAATGTAACTTTATGTCTTGTTTAATGATTTCTTGGATTTGTATTTCTTACTTTGCTGAATTAGTAGTTGAGAAAGGTTAACCTATTCAGATTTTTAAAAGGAACTCAAATGTTTTCCCTAAAATAAAATTCCCTTGAACTGCCTGATGAAGAATATACAACTTCATTGTATATTTACTAATTTATGTTTCCTCATTTCACCTTAGAGGTCCAAATGGTTCTAAAATATAATATTAAAAAAAACCCCACCAAGTGGTTTTTTTCAGTGGTGTTTCAAAGTATATTTAATTATAAATTATTAGAATTTTAATGGAGAATCAATTTCTTCAAGGGTTGTGTAATTTTCATTCAAAGTCCATTCGGTTTTATTTGGGCATCAGCACACTTAAACATAATATTCTTGGAATTCCACATTATAAAGGGTAGAAAGATTAACTGGGTGAGTGGTTGCTTTGGGATTAAATTTGATACCTATTAAAATCATATTAATTTCTCAAGGATGATGAAGTCTAGTTTTCTCAATGTATATTATATAGAAGTTACATCATTTACTGAAAACAAAACCACATTACCCAAGTAAGCTTGCTTACTAAATGAAGTCAAAGAACACCAATAGCCAATGGTGTAGTTTTTGTCAGACAACTTACACTAAACAATTAGGACATTCCCAAAGTAAACAGTCCTCTCAACTAAATCTTGCAATCTACTTGTTTTTCTTAGAAGCCAGTGCCAAAGCTATCCAAATGACCATCTGTAGCTGTCACCACTTCCCTTAGCTCCATGTTGATCCCAAGTTAAGACTTGCTTTGTCTTCAGAGCTTCATCCTTTCCTTTTTACTGCCTTCCCATTAACCTTCTCCCCTTCAATTTGCAGTCCAATAGATTTAAAAAGACCCCTCCACATCTGAGCGATGTCAAATGGTTCAAAAGCAAATTCAGGAAGTTATTCAGGTGTATTGATGTAGCATAAAATTGTTCAACTAAGTGGAAACTAGAACTGAATATGATGTTTTGTTATTGGTGTCTTTCCAACACAGACAGAAGGAAGTTCCTTCAAGTTTTATCAGTGCTTGGGTGGGATTTTTATTTTTAAGAAATTCAATTACCAAGAAGATGTTGGGTGAATTTATTAGTTAAAGCAGAGCTTTACTCAATTTTTTTTTCCAATTTTATTAAAATATCATACCCTTTATAGTACCTTGTATATCTTTTATATATATATTTAAATATAAATTTATAGTATACACTTGGAATGTATTTTAATATATTGCTAAGGGACAGTAGAATTACATGTGTGAGTGACTTACTGTTACAATTTTTGCTCCTCTCACTGATGGCACCTCACTTCTCTTACATCAGTTGATCATATGTGCAGACACCTATGGCAGATTTGTGATGTTAGTTCTGAAACCTGAAGGCTACTGCTCCTAATGGGACTGAAATCAAGTAGCCTACTAAATATTAGTCCTTATAAATGCATATTTAACAGTACAAATGGACCTCTCATTACTGTTCTTACTTATCTTTCTTTGTGATTTTTAAACCCATTAAGGAATAATTCAGCAGAATCCTCTTAGTGTATTATAATTGATAATATATTCCTTTATAATGACTCTGATCAAAAGGGAAGGGATCAGCTGTATCACCTAGTTCTAGTAGTGCTCTTTATTTTGCTATGAAATTGGACATGTACCAAAGACTGAAGGAAGCCCCAAATGAATTCACTTTCCCAGAACAGCTGTACTACAGTAGCATTACATTTCCCAGACTTCTCCTCAAATAGATCTTTTACATCTTGCCTTTTCCCTTATTTTTTTTTTTTTTCTGAATAAGTAGTTAGGTGATATTCCTGGAAACATAGGAAGAGAAAGTACTTTTTCAGATATCTCAAGAAGGTACTATTTATTTCTGGGCTTAGTTTAACATAGGTAGAACCTCCACTAAATTTTTTGCAGTGTCTCCACTGATCTGATATTGACCTGTGTATTCAAAGAGATTAACAACACCCTGATGCAAAGAACTCCATTTTTCAGTAATATACTACTTAGTGTACAGTAATAATTTGAGTTGTGAATACATTTCTGCCACCTTCACCAGAGCTTATGCTCTCTGTAGTTCTTGAGACAGATTTGGAAGTATGGTGAAATTTTCTGAATGTGTTGTCTCTTTGCAATATTTTGCTTCCAGTAAGTAACAAGTGAGTATTCTCCTAGCTTCATACTTGAATATTTGTCTGATTACTAAAATGCAGCATTTTCTAGCTGAATAACTTAGGTAATATTTTTCCTTCTAGGTTGCATGAAGTAATTTTTTTTTATTTACATCAAACAGAGCTAGGAAAATTATGAGGATGGGAAAATGGGACAGATGGTCTTATATCTTTCTATTTTGTCAATATTAAAGTGTAGAAAGAAATATTTCCTTTTGGTTTCAGAGATGTAGGTAGCATGTCTCCACAGAATTTATCTAGTGACATTCATGCTAAGAAATATATTTGGATTTAAGCCCTTTGCCAAAACTGTGTTACAATCTCAAAAATCTATTTAATTTATGAGGGAAAAGTATTCTTTTACTTTTTCACCTCTCATCATGCCACCTCTTATATTTTACCTGACATATATTACCTAATTTATTTCATTTATTTAGTTCTACATCAATTATTGGAATTAAGCAATGCAATTATCCTTGAAGCAACACTGCTGAAATGCTAACAAATATGTTTCTGAAGCAAATGTACAAGACTGCTCTTTAAAAGAATACGGTATTAGAAAAATTGTATCATAGGACCTAAAATTGTGATGTGAAATAAATATCCAAGCTCTTCAAGTTCCCCCATGGCTGTATTTATTAGTACCTTGTTTTTCACCAGCAGTCATATGTCTGGAAGCTGTAGTAAACTTTACCTGACAGGTAAATAAAGAAATGAAGCTTGGAGTAGCCTCCTGGATGATTTATTACTCCTTGATTCTTATTACAGCATAAAGTACATAAAGTACATAAAACTTTGTGTTAAATTAATTTCCTTTCTCAAATTTAAGTTTGCCTTTTGCTTCTGGTACCATGTGTGTAAAGAACAGAGGTGAGAACAAGCAGGCTCTTCCTCTGTCAGGGCTCTGTGTGTCCTAAAGGAGCTCCATGCTCCTCGCTGCTGCACTGGAAATGCCCCTACTCCCTCCTCCCTAGTACTAGATTCAGCATTTTTACAGCCCACTTCAGTTTCTTTCCGGACTCTAGGCAGTCCTGCTGTCTTCCTGGTTGTCTTTATGGACTGAGAATTTTTGATTTTAGCAGAGTGCACACAGATATTTACCTTGGCCTGAGGCAGGATATGTTCTTTGTGGCTTTCTGTGTTTTTTATTCTTAACTGTTCTCTTATGGGGGCAGGGTATAAGATATCAATTAATACTCACTAAAAAATTCAGTTGTGATGATCATCTTAGGAAAAACATTCACAATTCAGGAAATCTCATGAAAAATGTTATGTGTTGTATGGATATTTGGTGTCTAATTTTGTTTGTTTGTTTATTTGTCTGTTGGGAATTTTGTGGAAAATACCCAGTTCTGTTTAATTTAGGTAGGCAGACTGATACTGAAGCAATCTTCAGATTTCTTTGCTCTTTTTGGTGTAGCTTCTGATATGACTATTGGAACAAAAAATTCACATTTTGTCTAATTGTTTATTTAGGCTAATTACGTGAAAGTTAATAGCAAATCTATTTCATTGCACTTTTCTCTTAATTGTAATAGTTCTCATGTTAATATCTATGAATAGTACTTTGCTCATAGTTTTTCTCTGCTCAGCTTTTATTTTTACTGTCAACAGAACTGAATAGTTGTGGGTTTTAGCAAGTTTTGAACTTACATTCATGAGTAAAATTTGTCACATAAAATAAAGATAGAAACTTAGAGACTTAGGAAAAACACCCTTCCATCTCTTTCTCAGACTCCAGATACCACTCCTTCCCATTCCTGGTCTTCACTCCCCTTATTATCACCTCCAATGCAGGTAACAGTCCACTCAGTGAGGTGATGGAAAATGCAGGAGGCTGGTGTGAGGATGTAGTGGCTTCCTTCTGTCGTTCCTTCTTTTTCACTCTTCCACTGCTCTTTCTGCCTAACCCATTTCCTCTATTCCATTGTGGGTTATCCACAGTCCTTTCAAGATGTGTTTGCTCTCTCATGGGTTCATGCATTTTCCAGAGTCCTGAACCGTTACCAGTTGTGCCATGGAGCACCTCTTACCACTTTGGACTTCTTGTTCTTTGGCGTTCTAAGAGGTGCCACAAACTCCCTCAGCCCTCGCAGTTGTGTCCTGCCGTGGGTCCCCCATGACCCAGCTAGAACTGCCTGTGTCTGTCAGCACAACCTCTGAACTCCCTCCCCTGCAGTCACCCCCACTAACAAAACCTTGCTTTTTACATCCAATACACTTGAATAAGAGAATATTGTGTGAGGGAATGCCAAAAGCCTTGATAAAGTCAAGGTAATTTCCACCCACTGTTCTCTTGCGCACAAAACTAATAATTTTATCCTAGAAGATGGTGGAGTTGTTCAGGCATGGTTTACCCTTGGTCAGTCTGTGTGTTACTAACCACCTTTTTCTCACTGAATTTTTAATTTTGTGTTTCTGTATATATCTATCACATTTTCCTTTTTTTTTTCTCCCCCCTTCTTTAATTTTGTCCTCAGGTTTGGGACGTAAGGCTGTTGTTGTCATGTAACATCCTTATTTAGATTGTTGTCTCCATCTCTAGATGCACTTTAATTCAAAACATAATAATGTTTAGTTGAAATTTCATACTTGTAGAACAGGTTCTATATATAGAATGAAGACAATATAAAACCTGACAAGATTTAAACTGATAAAGTCCCAAAGAATTTACAATCTACTTTATATTTTTCAGCTTTACTTCAAGTAACAATTTCACTTAGCAAAGTCGAACTCAGTGTGGGTGAATCCAAGTTCTTCACATGCACAGGTATGTATTAATTTTATTTGTAGGTATATAAATTTTGTTAAATTTTGAACTTTTTATGTATTTGTAACTAAATAGTTGTTTCACAATATTAAATGAACATATTGTTGCATATTCACATTGACTTGTGACAAACACTATATCTTTGTGGCAAACACTAGAACTTCCCTGGCTTCACATTTCCAATCTAAGATCTTTTCATTTCACACACTGAATCAGTTTAAATTCTCTGTATCAGTACAGGTTGTTTATATCTGTTAGGATGCTTTTGTAGTTAAAATGTCACTTATTTAAACTAAGGAATTAAATCCTTTCCAACCTAATGAGACAGCCAAGGAGATTTTTTTCTGTTGAGGCAGTAATCAGTCACGAGAAGAATTTGCATTTGCAGCTCATTGATATGGATCCTTGATGTTGCTGAGTTGAGGTCTTCCACTGACAGTGACACCTGGCCTGACTACACTGACTCTGCAATTGCTTGATAACTTGACCTGTTGATCCAGCCAGTGCTGGACAGCCTGTTTCCTTCCTATAAGACTTTATACTTTTCTGTGGTACCCTCTTGAGATCCTTGAGGTGCTATTCACCCTGTCTCAATGATTATATAATTTAGCAATTAGCTAACATTATAGAATCGCAGAATCACAGGTGGAAAAAGACCTCCAAGACTGTCAAGTCCACGTTTTGACTGATCACCACCTTGTCAAATAGAGCATGGCACTGAGTGTCACATCCAGTCATCCCCTGAACACCATCCAGGGTGATATCCTGGGTAGCCAGTGCTTGACAACCCTTTCCAAGAAAAAATTGTTCCTGAATTTTGCTTAAATTCCTGCCACTGCATAGTCTGTGCGGTGGGTAGGCATATGCATTTGCATGATGTGCTTCTAAATGTCTAAATCTGGATTTAGACATTTTTGTTTTGGTTTTGTTTGTAGCCATTGGTGAGCCTGAGAACATAGAGTGGTACAACCCACAAGGAGAGAAGATCATTTCCAGTCAGAGGGTGGTTGTTCAGAAGGAAGGTGTCCGGTCACGTCTCACCATTTATAATGCAAACATAGAAGATGCTGGAATATACCGGTGCCAAGCAACAGACGCTAAAGGACAAACTCAAGAAGCTACTGTAGTTCTGGAGATTTATCGTAAGTCCAGTACTACCAATTAACAAATAATTGATAATTATTAATAACTGGCTATGTTTTAAAACCCACTAGCATAGAGAAAGCAAAGTGTCTCAAAATATCATCCCAAACTCTGAACTTTATCTTCCAAATAATTGCATCTCCTGCAGTTTAGTAAGTAGACATTATGACAAAGATTCAAGTTAAATGTAGGGGCACTTATAAGTCTTGTAGATTGTTTTTCTCCTGTATTTTAGAATGCCATCTTAAAAGGATGCACTGTATGCCCCTCAAAGAAATGAGAAAAAAAAAAGAGGAGGGAAAAAGAATAGATCAATAGATCAATGTAATTAATACTACAAGTGTATGTACAGTTTACAAGTAAGTGCAGGAAGTGCAATGTATGACATTTAAAAAGCAGAGTTTTTACTGAATTGTTATTTTAATCTCTGTCTTTTGTTATTCTTAGCCTTATGAAAGAGTTTTGACTTAAAGCATTGAAGCTTAGTGTGATAAGTAACCAAAATGGATTTCAACTGCAAACAACTACTTGAGGAGTATATTTGAAAAATAAATAATTCTATTGTAGTATGAGATTCTCTGAGAGATTTGAGGAGTTTTCTCTCAGTATTGAATAAATAAAATTGCATTTCATTCTTTAGATCAATCAAAAATGCCTAAAAGCTGTATATTAAACAAGCACAGTGAATATGTAAGGCAAGGATTTTGTTGGTGAAAGGATGGAACGTATGCCAGCAGCCCTTCAGCTGAGTTAAGATCTAATTTCATTGGGGAACAGGTTTTTTAAATGTGAAAGAATTACAATGAGACAGAAAATACAGAGCAGAATGGAAATAATTTCTGAGAGGTACAGGTAATTCAGATAACAAAAGACACACAATTTTTAAAAAATCTTCTGATAAAACAACTAATAAAAGGATGGTAGAAATTAGAAGCGATTACATGACAGCTTGAAACTTCACAAATCAAAGCATTACAATTTTTCAGGAATTTATTTGTATCCATAAAGCTGCCAGTTACTCCATTAGCAGAGTGCTGTGAAAGGTAAAAGTCTTTTGAAGCACTTGCATGTGTTAATTTTAATAATTCTGAGGTGAGACAAACCCAAAAAACCTACCTAAGAAATATCAAGGTTTGTGGGAACAGAAATGGAAAATTTCCTTATTCATATTTGTGATGTAAGAAAGAAGCAGGATAACTTGTTGATATTCTTAGGGGCTGGTTCTAATGATTCTCAGATGTCTGTGAGAGGTTTTTTCTGACTTCATGCAAAAATGTATGACAAATGTAAAAACAAAACTGCTCCCTCTGCTGTGGGAAATGTGTGGATTATTTGAGCCTACACTCATATCAGTACAAAAACACAGAGGTGAAGCTGCATCTCTGGGTTAAGCTCCCCAAAGTTTACTCTGAAATGTAGTTGGCCATCTTTGATCTGAGAGAACATAGGCTGGTTTATTTATTTTGTGTGCAAGAAAATCTTCCAGATTTTTTTTTTTGTTAGTCAACTGCATCAGATCTTATGATCTATTAGATCTATTAGATCACAGATTAATACCATCTTGGACTTTTAAAAATACTGAATTTATTCAACACATGTGGAAAATTAAATATTGTTTGGTTGTTTGAGCTTAGAAAAATTAAAAGCCTCAGTAGACCTAAAAAACCCTTCTTAGTTCCTAAAAATAATACTACAATTTTTTATGACCTAATAGTCATAACAGACCTAATAGTTTCTCACTGGCTTTTTAATGTATTTTACTCAGCTGCTATTTTTCTCAGTGAGTCAAAAATTCTACTTTTTTTAGTGAGAATTTTCAAAATTTTAATGGTTTTTATGGAAGTTTTGATAGAATAAAAAAAATGAGGTCTTTATTCAATAACAGAATAATGAGGAATAAATTCCACAAGAGAGTAAATAAACTATCAACATGAATATATAAACTTCTAAGAACTAGAGTTTAAAAACTGTGTTTTGGAACATTGAAAACAATGAAAATATATTTATAAAACCTGCAGTATGTATATATATAAACAAAATTTTGCATAATACAAAAGGATTGTAAAGTAATTTTTACAGGCAGAGTATAAGTCCAGGACCATTTGAGTCTTACATGGGAAAATTATATTATGGAAATAATTCTGTATTATCACAGTGAGAAGATTTAATAGTGGCATTTTTATCTTATTTATTGTTGCATATCATTTTAATGCTAAGTTAATTGTATGACTCTTACCATATTCTGTTTCCTTTTTTATTTTTTCCTTTTCAGAAAAGCTCACTTTTCGGGACATAGTATCTCCACAAGAGTTCAGGCAGGGAGAAGATGCAGAAGTTGTTTGCCGTGTTACAAGTTCACCTGCTCCCGTTGTCAGCTGGTTGTATCGGAATGAGGAAGTCACAACTATTGCTGACAGTTAGTATTTTGGTAACTCTTTGAGTTATACATTCCAGTAATATTAAAAAACTATTTTTAAAAAGGATTAATTACATTTTAGTGGGGGATTTTGATTAGCCTATCAGCTTAGATGCAATTTTACCAGGTCCTGTAAAGGTGACCTGTAGAGAATCCATATACAATGGTTTTCTCCATGTGTTTTTTTTTCCAATTGGGAATTTTGCCTAGGTGAAACCTGAATGTCCAAATGGCCAAAAGATTGCTAGGAGCTCCCTCAAAGGAACTCTTCCTGGTGTCCTTGTCTGTAGGAGTTGAACACATTTAAAGCACACAGAGATGAGCTTCCCTGCACACCAAGCTGTGACAGTGACCCTGCACAGCGTTGTCTTTGGGATATTTGTTCAGTTGCTCAGAGAATTCCAGGTGCATTAATGTGAGAGTTTGCTTGAGTAAGGGCAAGTTACCCTCTGAATTACAAATAACTGGAATATAAGTAATCTGCTGAGACTGGACTGATAAATCCTGGATTAAGATAAACCTTGCCTTCCCCACATGCAAGTTCTAAGTCTCTAGAGAGGTAATTAATTAAAGAAATAAATTTTTTTTTACTTATCCCACAAAAACTTTGAATTATTTTTTCCAGCCCCGCCTCAATAGTCATCTTTGCCAAAACAGGACTTTTTCACATTATCTGGAAATGGATAATTAATTAACTTTGTTAATTAACCAGCTTTTCTAACTTCCCATCAGTTTTTCTCTCTGCATGTAATGAAACTCTGGGTAGCAGTATGCATTTAGAATTCTTATTCTTTCAAAATTATTTGTTATTTTTATTTCAAAATGAAAATTAAAAGTTTGCTGGGGCTGGGGGGTTTATGAAGTCAAATAAGAAAATGTGGAACAGCTGTCAAGGGGGAAAAAAACCAGCTTGGTTAGTATTTCTGAACTCAGGTTCCTCTCCATTGGGAAAGAAAGTTTTGATTAAACTTCTTTCTTATTTAGTATATCCTATTTCTTCTGTCATGAAGAAAGGCATGGAGACTAAAAGGAAACAACAAACTTCTACACTTAGGAAAAAAATTTAAATTTATATATATATATATATATATGTATCTATAATTAAACAGTGAACGTATGTGAGATATAGAAAATTTTCAAAAATAAGAATGCTGAAAATAAAAAAAGAATTGGCAATCTAGGAAAAAGTCATTAGAGGATGATAGAGCTTGAAAATGTAGAATTGCCTCAAAGATCTCTCTCCAATTTTTTTAATTGCCATTTTAGTAATAAATTAATCTGTAGGATTAGCAAAGCAGATGGAGCAACATTTCCTTTCTCATTTAAATAAATAGAAATAAACATTTCTTGTTTAAAATCATGCACTTTGAAAATAGTTTTTAAAATTTTAGTGCCTGAACTTCTTTTAATAAACCATTTTCTTTCTCAGTGCTAAATGGTACAATGATAGAAATGAGTTTTAAGTTGTTCCCTTATGTTCTGATCTAGAACAGTATCCAAATACGATTCCAGTCATGCTTAGGAGGAAGCAGTTTTAAATCACACAAAAACAGGACACTGTAAACTTTGTGAGTTTTGTTTATATGGGCTTATAATAAAGGTGGAAAACAGAATGTCCACTGTCTTCATGTCTTGTGAAATAAAAATGACTCAGTTTTATATTATAATTCCAGTTTCAAAATCTACAGTGGATGATCAAATACTCTCTTATTCTGAAAGATGATTTAAGACAGAAAAAAAGGCATTCTAATGAGCTGGGCTTGCCCTCTAGATCATATTGGACAGGCTGTTGCAATCCAATCCTGCTGCTTCCTCAGCATAGCATAGTCCCTGATATTTCTTTTCCACTTCAAATCAGTAGCTTGTGCAGTACTACTTCCAGTACGGGAGATGTGGTGCCTTTGCCCTGCAGAGCACATGTAGACCATTAAAATACATTTGTATTAACCAACATGCAAATGTGATTGCTTGCTTTAAGATAGTTAACATGCTGCGTTTACAGTCCCTCTTGTAAAGAATGGCCAGTTATATGAGAAACAGGTTTAATAAAAGTCTTGGTCCTCAACATTTTCCAAAATTTTTGATATTTTATTCAGCTCTTTAATCATGTCTTATTATTTGAATGTACAGTATTTTGTTGGACATTCTGGCTCAAAGCCTGGTACATACACAGCAAAATTTGCAAACCATGAGCCAAAAATTCCTCTAGATTGGATTGAGTGGCACTGAAAAGACATAAGCTCTTGTCAGCTGCTCCACTTAATATGTGATATGACTGAAGGGGAAGGTCATGTGACTGACTGGTCTAAATCAGGTATTTGAAGTTGAGGGGGTTGAGTCCAGACAATGCAGTGATGAGCTGGAATAGTGTAATGCCCACTTACTTCCAGATTAACCAACTCAAATATGTTTACTAAAGGGCACAATTTTTATCAAGATATCCATGGCACAGTGAATTTTTAGTATACTCATGGGAATATCTACTGCTGTATCCATTTCTCTTCAATGAAAGTTGAAAACATCCAGCCAACACTTAGTTTTTGTTTCCTGATACTATGTGAACCCTCACTTTTTCAGTTTTTTATAGAAATGGAGATCACTTCCAGCCCTATTGTTCATCTCACACATTGCATGTCCATTGTAAAAAAAAAAAAAAAAAAAAGGCTTAAAGACAGGCTGGAACTCACTTTTTCAAAACATTTGGAGGTAGGTAATTATGTAGGAGGAGAACAGGAAAAGATATATGTTATGTGTGGTATTGTATGAAATGTCATTAATATTCAAGCATGACTTCAACAAACCAGACATAATTAGAGCAGATGTGTTGATGATGTTAATGTCCTGTAAACTTCTATCAGGTGAAGCATGATTTTCTTTTTCTTTTCTTTTTTCATTTCTCTCTTCATTTTATGGTAGAATTCTTGCTACTGGTATAGAAGTCATTTGATAGTTAAAACTGAAAGCTGCTAAATATCATTGTCCTCCAATATTGAAGGGTATAAAATAGAACAAGAGCAACATCTGAATAACAGGGTTTCAGGTTCTTCAAGACACACATTCAGTGAATTGGCAGGAAGTCATTCTCCTCAGTACAGTGCATTAATATTGACTAGTTTTGGTGGGTTTACCTTGGTGTGCTACCATGCACCCACCCAGCTTCCCTCTCACCCTCCTCAAGAAGCTGACCTGGGCTGTGTACCTGGTGTCACCAAAGCTGCTCAATCACCTCTGCAACTGGACAGGGGATGGAAAATATAAGAAAAAGCTCATGGATTGATTGACAGGGAGAAATCACTTGCCAATTGCCATCATGGGCAAAACAGACTTGACTTGAGGAAAATGTAATTATCAACATAACAGAGTAAGATAGTGAGAAATGTAAGTCTTAAATTGCACCTTTCCCCCACACCTTCTTTCTTCTCAGGCTAAACATGACTCCAAACACCGTCTCGGCTTCTCCTTCCTCCTCAGGGGAGGAATCCCCACATTCTTCCCCTTCTCCAGTGTGGGGACACCTCCATGAACTTCAGCAATCCTTCCAACAGCCTTCAGTTCTTCAAGAGCCCCTCCGGTATGGGTCCCCTGTGGGTATCCCAGTCCTGCCACAAAACCTGCCTTGGCACGGGGTCCTCTTTCCATGGGTTCTCAGGTCCTGACAGGAGCCTGCTCCAGCACGGATTCCCCACAGGCTCACAGCCTCCTTCAGGCATCCACCTGGTCTTACAGGGGGATCTCTGCTCCCTTGTGGACCTGATGAGCTGCAGGGAAGAACATAGAGCTGCCTCTCTATGTTCTGCACCATGGCCTGCCAGGGAATCTCTGCTCTGACACTTCCTCTTCTTCCTTCTTCACTGACCTGGGTGTCTGCAGGATGGTTCTGCTCACGTCTTCTCACTCCTCCCCTGACTGCAATCACTGTTGGACAGTAACTTTTCCATTTCTTAAATCTCTTATCCCAGAGGTGCTAGCACTGTTGCTGATGGCGTTGCCAGTGGCATGTCCTTCTTAGAGCCTGCTGGCAATGGCTCTCTAGGACACGGCTGAAACTTCTAGAAGCTTCTCAAATAAACCGCTTCTTTATCCCCTCAGTACCAAAATCTTGCCAAAAAAATTAAATACAACAAGATCATGGGAGAAAATGAGATGAAATGTGTGTTGAGATTAAGACAGGGAGAATGCACACCAGCGTTAGCAAAATGGATTTGACGGAGGGGAAAATTAATTGAATTTATATCCAACGTATTAAATGGTGAAATACAAAGACAGAATTAAAGCAATATCTCCCCTCTCCTCTTTCCCAGACACAACTTTATAATTGTTGACTCCTCTACCTCACCCACCCCATGGAGTGCAGGGATATTGGGGAATGGGGCCTGCGGTCTGTGGTCAGTCTGTAACAGTTCCAGTGTGGATCCTTTCTCTGAGTTGTAATTGCTCAGGATGAATTTGCTGCAGCATGGGATCTTCTGTGGATTACAAAGGGGATATCTGATCCAACATGCTCCTTCTTGAGGCAAACACATCAACACATAAACCTAGTACACTAGTTCAGAGAGAAGGGAGAGAAAAAATTAAATTCAGGTCCAGTTTACTCCTGCAGATTATAATTTTGCTGCTGCATGTGGAGGAAAATGTGTGCATGGCTTTCATAGCCTGATTTTACAGTGTACTTCAGCTCCTCAAAATGTCTGTTGAATTTCTGTTTATGCTGCCCTTTGCAGAAGATAGAGTGCTTTCTTTTTTCGGGTTATGTCTTTCTACCCGTTTCTGTGAAGTGTTAGAGGGCAGTGAAATATATCATTGACCAAGAAAATGAAGAAAGAAACAGGAGGAGGGAAGAAGGGCAAGCAAGCTGAAATCATTAAACATTGGGCTGTAGAATAGGCCCAAAGAAGATAGTCTAGATAGAAAGGGAAACAGCCTTTTGTTGCTTACTATATTATAACTTGCTCAATTTAATTTTTGAGTATTTTTTTTCCCATTTATTTTTTTTTGCATTCTGTGTAAATGCTCAAGAGTATTCCACTCCTTTTTTACTAAATTGTAATTTAACTTGCAGTTTATTACTCCTTGGAGTAAGTAGGAAATTATGGATGGAAAATCCACATAGAATTCTAGGAAATTCAATGTGTTTTGGAATAAAGAAACCCCAAATCTGTCAGCCAACATTTTCCTTTTAAATGTACAAATGTTTTGCCAATGACCATTCAGATTGTACAGAGAAAGTATTTATTATTCATTTAAGTTAGTGTTCCTCATGTTGTCTTGATTTACTTGATTTGTGACATTTGATCTTTTATTTTCTTTTCTAGATCGATTTGCAGTATTAGCAAACAATAATCTCCAAATTCTTAACATCAATAAAAGTGATGAAGGAGTATATAGATGTGAAGGAAGAGTGGAAGCAAGAGGAGAAATTGACTTTCGGGACATAATTGTTATTGTGAATGGTAAGGAGTAAAATTGGTGAATTTACTTCTTTCTTTATTGATTATTATGGCCTATTTTATCATATATCAACTTCTGAAAAACCCTTTATTCAATTGGTTAATATAATTGTCATATCTGTTTAGGACTGGTTTACTGTAAATGTAATTGCTTAATGCTGAAAAAAAATCTACTATACTGTGTAAATAGAATTCATCACATTTCATAGTATCAGTAAATATAAATATGTAAAGCATGGATCATTATTATTCATCATTTATAGAACAGTAACTATTTCAATACTTGAATTTCAGATTATAGTAGTTCAGTCTGGTTTTCGGTGTTTTTGTCATTTACTCTTAAAAAAAAGCTGATTTTTTTTTTATAATTTTTTATAATTTTTAAAATTTGATTTTTATATTCTTTATAATTTACCTTCACTGTATGAAGTGTGACTTTATGGGCTGTCCCAAAAATCAGAGATTCATTTTATTAACAGTCTTAGTTACAGATTTTTTTCAAATTTTATTTTTGTGAAGAATAAAGTATGTAAAGAGTTGCCTGAAAATTTGCATGAAAAATTTTATTAGTTTATAATAAACCTCTATAAAGGAAAGTCAATGATTTGAGACAAGATGGAGCATTTAACTCAACCTCTCTTAAACTCAGCATTGACCTGTTGAAAGATAACCACCTCTTCATATATTGCTTGGAAGGGAGACTGTTCATAAAGGGCATTTTTTATCTCTGCAGTCTGTTTATTGTCAGCTTTTCAGTGCAATTCTTCCAGTGTGTCTTAGGTTTGGATCCTTAAATTCTTTGCCCTTGACTGGTCCTTCTCAGCAAACTCCAGTTTACATAAGTCATTATGTTAGGTGAATTCACAGCTAGTTTCATCAGGAAGTGCAGATTCTGGCACAGGTATTTCCTAGTCCATGCTGTCAAACAGCAACATCTGAGGCAAAATTCTCTAGATTGTTGTAGGTGGTATATTCTGGCACTGCATTGCCATGACTCCTGGTTATGTACAATTCCAACAGTGCATCTGGTAGCATTTAAAATGCCGGATGACATTTTCTTCTGCTGCTATTTATGTGTAGGGATATGAATTCACCTCCTGATTATCTTCCACTTCTATTGGTATTTATATGCAGTTGAGCTGAGAGTCTGTATTTAAATTAAAACATTGGGTTGCAAACCATAGTCTGACTTCATATCATTTATTGCTGAATTATGAAAACAAATCTTGTCCTTTGTACATTTATTAAGACTCTAGGCAAGAATGTTAATGCTCATCTCTAAACTTAAGCCTTGGAAGGAGAAGGAGCTGCCAAAAAAGTGATTATAACATGGTTGGTCATGTAGACTGACATCAATTAAGAAATATTTCCTGCATCATTTGTAGTAATAAATAGGTTTGCCTGCATAAAGTTGAATGGATAAAACTTGATCCAAAGTAGCTTTTACAGTAATACTAAAATTCAAAAAAAAACAGAAAAATTTTAGGTTTTTTTTGTTTGTTTGTTGTTTTTTTTTTTTTTGTGAAAAGTAAAGCCTATGAATGAACTGGATTCAAAAAAGAAAACAAACAAAAAACAAAACAAACAAAAACAAACAAAAAAAAACAAACAAAAAAAAAGAAAGAAAAGAAGGATCAGTCCATAGTCCGCCAAAAACTACATGGCTATATTTCCACTGCATCTCCTGTTCCAAAAGAGAAATATTACTTACTTTGGAGGATAATCTAAGCTTGCAAAAAAAAAGGAAAATATTATCATGAAAGTATTTCTATGTAAAAGTTATTCAAATTTAGATCTTTATTGTTTATTTACTTATTTTGTAATAATCACTGTAGAATCTACAGGAATGTGCAAGATCTTTGCTAACTATATTTCTATAATAAGAATCACAGAATAAGGTGACCCACGAGGATCACTGAGTCCAATGAGGTGACCCACGAGGATCACTGAGTCCAATGAAAAAGTTTACCTGGTTTCAACTAAACCAGGATGGAAGTATGTGAGGTATCCAAAGCAGGATAAACTGTAATAAAACAACTTAGGGGTACTTTATGAAAGATGGCACACCATGTTAATCTTAGTAGGGTTTTTTTTAAAAAATTAAAATTTGCATATGAACAGTTTGCAGATTTACTCAAAAATAATTAAATCTTGGAACAAAGTCTGATATCAGGGTAATTTCTAATGTATGGAAATCCTTGGAAGGCTATAATGGGTGAGAAGTTGACAACTAGAATATCTCCTAGAAATCTAATGTTTATGTTTCTATTCTACTTACAACACTAAAATTTCTGTAGCATTTATTTTCTTATTATATTTACAGTGAGGTCTGAATGTCAGGATTTTCTGTGGTTACAAATGGTTGACATAGAAGAGAATGAAAGAATTAAAGTCCTGTAAACAAAAATTTTGTTTATTTGTTCTTTTGTCTCTATTTTTCCCTACTCTTTTTATTTTTTATTTTTTTTTTCAGTTATTTTTTCCTAATGTACTACTTGGTTTTTTTTTTTACTTTCTGAGTAGTGCTATAAATTAGTCATGCTGATCTCACTGAAATTAGTGGGAGAGAACTGTTTACACAGTTATATGGGGTTGAGTTTTGCCATCTGCTTTAAGTATGAAATGTGAGAGACTTACAAGCATAACTTCATTTCTCTTTTCCTCTTGTAGCTTTACACTTTAGATCCAACCTATGTACTTAGGAGCATAAAAAGAAAAACAGATTTATCCCCTGATAAATGAGCAAAATAAAATTTTGCTTTTGAAAAGAGAAAATAATACTTAATTTCATTGTCATTGCAGTATGTCTCGGAAGATTGAAGCGCTTAAGTAATACGCTGAACCTGCTACTTCTAGCAAAGAATTACCTCCTCATGTTCCAGACTATGTTTTGAGGTCTAGATATTAGAATGCACCACAAAATAACTAAAATTCATTAAAAGCTTTCTAAGTATCATTGTGGGGTTTTCTTTATTGGAGATGGACAAATTCATGTTGCATAGCAAAAGGGTTTTGTATGCTGACTAATGGCCCATACAACTTCAAATAGGAAAGAAGTGATCTGTGAAACACTATAACACACACCATTAAAAGGTGTGAAAAGTACACAGCAACACACAATTACTGATCATTGATAATTCTGGTACATGATTTTATGTTAATTTGATATATTTAAGATTCACAAGTGAAAAGGTTTCCGAAATATTTGGTAGAAAGCTACAACAGTTGGTTTTCAAGAGTGGGTGAGAAAAATCTGGGGGAGTGCAATGGAACACTAAAAGCAAGTTCACTGGGGTTGTCCATTTCATCTTTTCATTAGTGAAGTTCTATCCAGTCTGCTTGGACTGGTTTTTTATTTGTATATTTCATAGAATAGTTTGGATTGGAGGGACCTTAAAGACCATCTAGTTTCAAACCCCTGCCATGGGTAGGGACACCTGCTAGACCCAGATGCTCAGATCTCCATCCAATCTGGCCTTGAACACTTCATATTTGCTTGTTAATTAATGGAAATAGATATCTAAACAGATATGTTAAATGTGAGTTTTTCTTTCTCAAATATTAATGCTATTTTTTCTGTTGGATAGAGGTTCTTTGTGAACTGTTATAAAATGTTATTATTTTATTATTATCAATATTATAAATGTTATTTTTTTAGAACAACTTCATCCCATCAAGAACAGAAAACATTTGTCATTATTAGAACAAAATTAAATTTTTGGAAATACAGGTAGATTGCATACATTGGGTTTTATCACATTTACCCTTTGGAAGCTAGTAATATTCCTGCCCAGGAAGTATGCTAGAGCTCAGTAAAAGGAATTAAGTATGTATAATAAAGACTCCTGCATACTGACCCCTCTTTTAAAAACACTGTCTAACATGAGTACATAGTTTTATGTTTCATGTGTGTATTGTCTTATACATGTTAGCTGTAACTTCAGTCATCTTAGAATGTTCTGTAAGAAAATTGAAGAACTGATGAAAAAGACTTTCAATAATTTATTCTATTAAAAAAAAAAGTTATAAATATCCCGATACTATTAAAAGTCTTGTATTTAAGAAAAGTAAAGAAATACTACAAACAATGATTTACATTGTAACCTGATCCCTAATTGCACAATTATAATTGTAATTTAACAGCCAAATTGTAATCCTGCAAATTAGCAAAGGATCTTGCATTTTAAATTTTTCCAAACACCTGAAATATTTTATTTTTCATTCACTGGACATAATGTTTTATTTTTCAGTTCCCCCTGCAATCATTCTGCTACAGAAATCCTTCAATGCCACTGCAGATCGAGGAGAGGCAGTAACTTTGTTCTGCAGAGCCACTGGATCGCCTCCACCTGAGATCAGTTGGTACAGGTGAGTTCAGTCAAGGTCTCCACATCAGAACACATTGTTTTAATGTGTCCCAATTTTCTATCACAGTCCATTAAGCTGTGCAACCTTAATTTCTTTCTGCATTTTAAGAGAATTTTCTGTCCATTTCTATTCTAACTGCTATGTCTGGATTAAGCATAAATGTGTGAATGAACTCACACAAATTCAATTACACTCAGGTTGCCAGCAAGTTAGGTAAATGTAAAAAGTAACAAAAATACCATATTGTCATGATTTCTTCATGTATGAGTGGAGAAGAAATAAGTCCATATCTCAAAAGCAGTACAAGAGCAACCAAAGAACAACTTTTGCATATAAATGCACACATATGCATTTATCCAATAAATAAGTGTCCAGTACAGATCAGCAGTACTGATAAAAAAAAACCCTAACACTTTCCACATTTGTAAAAATAGATTCTAACCTTAACTCTCTATTTCAATGAGAATCAGAAAGAGGTACAAATTTAGACGCTTGTATGACCCAGGAATGTTTCATCGAATAAGTTTCAGTGTAACTTAATGTAATTTTATAAGTATAAAACACTTTGAAAATGGAATTGCTTTTAAATCTCATGTGTGTTTTTTTCATTATAGCAATGACATGAGCATTGTATAGCTATGTCATTTGGGAACACTTACCATATAACATTTGTAAAAATTTAAATATCTATTTACTCTGTGTTCTTTCAATTTCAACAAAGATATGCATCAGTCCTGGGATATAAAGTACCTCAATACCTCATGCCAGTGAACATTTTTATTTTAGGTCTGAATAATTTGCATCTACTTATATTAGTTCAAGTGGATTAAAAGGTCATCCCATTTTCAAAATGGGCATAGAAGCAATTTCCATCAATTCTTCACCTTCTCTGGAACATTTGAACAAAGTTAGATTTCTCTTCCTTTGACTGATACCTTAATTTATTGTGCCATAGGTCAGCTGTGAAGTGGAATTTTTCTCTCATGCAATTTGAAACCCAGGAGGTGCAAATAAATAGAATTCAAGGTTAATTCCTTAATGTGGCTTATAATTCAAAATTTAATAAAGAGGAGGAAAAAGAAACACAAAATATGTATGGCCCAAATCAAAGAACTGATATTAAATTCAAATAATATTCTTTTTATTTGATGTCTTTGAAGCAGTTTTTTACATGACTCTCCTATCTGACCAAAATTCATAAGAGTTGCCTGAAATCTGCTATCCTAAATGTCTTTGGTGTATGACAACAACATACATTTTTGAGTATGACAACATGATATACATTAAGGAAGATTACAAAAATTTCCACCATTTGCGTATATCTCCATTACCCGTTGTGGGATTTTTCTGATGTTTTATAAATAGCATGGTACATACCCAGGCCAAGTGTCTTGGAGAGACACTTATCTCTGTGCCCATTAATGAGAGCCCACTCAAGGATTTCCCTTTAGTTTGACAGCCCCTGAGGAGCTAAATTTTTAAACCTTTCTGCAAATATCTTTTGTAAAGATTTTCCAGAAGCTTTTCAGGCTTGTGGACTGGATATTGAATCATACATGTTCAAACATCTGTTCTGTTTTTCTTTCAGGAACTATCTCATAATGAGGAATACTGGCTAATGTGTCTCCCTTCCCTTCTGATTGTTTTCTTTTCCCCCTTTGATTATCTTTTAATTTCATCTGATTAGGGTGTTTTGTCAGTAGAAAATATTCTTGGGTTTTTTTTATTTGCTGACACTGAGATTTTATAAAATTATACAACAAAAAAGTACATTTATCCTTGGGGCAGGGTGTTATTATTGATATGCAAGCAGGGAAAAAAGGATGGGGGGAGAAAATTCCTTCTTTTTTCAGAGGAAGCAAACGATTTTAAATGGTACTCCAGTCCTAAATTTCTGCATCAAATTTCTGAAATTTTCAGATCCATTTTGACTCATTTAGTCAATTAAAATTATTCATAATCAGCTGATCTCCTGTCCTTGTTCTTATCTAAAAGGTATGTCAAGATAATGACCATGCATTTCTACAATAGTTTAGGAGTTAGACTGAGCCTAGGAAAACCAGATAAATATAATTTTTCTTGATTTTGAGAAAAATCTGGAGAGTATTGTCCTTAAGTTTTAGGGAAGTTTATCTAAACTAATTTATCTAATATTAATATGCTTGTCCTCCACTGAGAAGCTAATTGAATAAGTTTATCAGAATTAATGTCAAATTGTTCTCTATTTTGTCCTGTTTTTTCATGTGTATAGTTTTTGATGTTAAAAGAAAGTTGATATTAACCTCAGTTTTATTGTGTTTCTATTCTAATAAACAAAGGAAATTATGTCTTGAATTTGATAAAGTTTTAATTGTTATTTTGGAAGGATTATAATTATTAGTCACAGCAAGTTAAGGGAATTGTGTTCAGTTTTAAACCCAACCTCACATTTTATCTGTGTGTGTTCAGTCATTTTATTTAATTTGTCTCAGGATAACCATTTGTAAAATGGGCAGGTCTAATAAAGTGACTTAATGGAAGCCTGTTTTCTGAATTCTCTGAATAGCTATGTATAGCTAATGGCCTCAGAGAGATGGTGTTAGATATTCTAACAGAAAATAATCACAGCATTTCCTGATGTCTCATTACGAAACATTCTGAAGTATATTCAGTATCCTGGAGAGCTGTGGAAAAATACTGATAAAAAGAGTGGAAAAGATTTTTTTACTCCATTCTGCTGCAAGATTTTCACCTCATAGTGTAAAAAGTATATCCATGACTGTTCATGAAGACTGAGGACTTGTGTTATAGACATTTTTGCGTTCTTCTGTCTTTGTTGCTTTTTAAAATGGGCTCTCACACCAGTTATTTGCTCATTCAGTCTAATGAAGTTTCTTTATCAAGGCAGGCAGAATGTGGATCTTTTCAAAGGTAGTCTTACAGTCCACTGCTATTTTACTCAATTTAAAAGTAAATTATCTTGATTTTTACTACCTTTGTTTCCTTTTTGGTTTTCAATGAATTAATTTTAAAAGATCAACTTCAGAGAGGCCATGAAAAATATCTGCATTTTTAAAATCAGGTGACAATACTACTGAAGGGACTCTCATCTCTGTGTGTTGACTGTAATCAAGACGCTGGACAAAACAAAAGTCTCAAGCTTTTAGCTCTCTAAGACAGTAGCTAATGTAGTGAAGCTTGAACTATTTATTTTATTTCCAGGTGCTGATGATATTTAGATTTGATCAATTTAAAATGGATGCACCTGAACTAATGTGTCAATTTTTCTCAAAAAATCCTTTAGTGCACTTACAAAAATTAGTCACTTTGAAATACCTTGTCAAGAAGGAAGGTCATCAAAGTTCAGTTGCTGTTCTATTTCATATATGTATATATTTTGTTGATATTTTGTGGACTAAGAGAATTTAATTAATTCTCCACTGAACTGTTATCTCTATTGTAGCTAATCATACATTAATGTAAAGCATAACCTTCAGAGAGGCAATACACCAATGGAATTAAATTAGCCGGGACTGAAGAAAGAGATCCTAATGTAACTACAGGTCATGAACTGGAAATCTTTACTCATGTGAATAGTCCAACTGAAAAACAGTGTTTATAGCTGTGGAGATAATTTATACTGCTAAAGTTTATCTGGATCAATTTCCTGGTCTTTGCTGACAGGACTTAGAATTATCTTACAAAATAAATCCTCTTTAAGTATATTATTCATGTTTTCCTCTTATCCAATACCAGTATCAATATGAATCTGTCTGTTCACTAGAGGGTCCAGGGAAGTGCTCATTATGTCATTTCTACTGAGAAACTGCTATGGATATCAATTATTGTGATTCTGACCTTGAATTTAGACTTTTGAATCCTTAAAGAAATCACTGGGGGGGTTTTGGTTGTTTGGAATATTTTGTTACTGTTTCTTTGTTGTTTCTTTGTTGTTGTGTAATAGGTTTGGGTGGCTCTTTCTGTTTGTCCTGGTTTTGGTTTGGTCTGGTTTTCTGTGAAAATTAGGCCTTTCCTGTTCTGTAAAACAATTTCTGCGATTTTCTTTGGAAAGGAAATGAACAAGTATCGTAACAATGTCTTGAGTTGGCAACTAACTGCATTCGAATTATTTACAAAAAAGTGTTACTGAAGTGCAAACTATATAGCTATCAGGGGACTCCTACTAACAGTTATGATTAAGAAATAAGCAGTATCCTGACTTTTAGAGAAAATATGATTTAGGAAAATATGAAATATATGTATTTATCATTGTATGATAATGTAATCATATTATATTATTATTATCATAACATTATAACATATATATATATATAGCAATGATTTATTGGAATCATTGGAAATCATTGTTGTTAAAAATCTTGAAAAAATTTAAATATCCTAAACTAAATATATTGAATAGATTAGAATGTTTGAGTAATGCCCTCTTGGAAAAGCAGCTGTGTGTAAGCCAAGGTGCTCAACTGGACCAGTAAAGCCTCAATCAGCCCACAGAATTGCTTTAAGATTTTATTATTTCTGTACCATCTGGTCGCAGCTCATTCTAACATCTGGAGATATTCCTGCTTGCTAAGTTGTGGCTAGCCAACAACAACTGAGAGGAAATAATTTGAGTGAGTTCTTGATGTGCCAACAGGTTCTATGTGAATGCAATTTATTTTTTTTTATAGAAGTTGCTACATTGTTACTACTGTGAACAGCAGTTACACTTGAAAAAATATGCTTTTAATAGTTTTAATAGTTTCTCACATACAATATATCACCAATTTTCTTATGCCCTTCCTAAAGTGTAAGCCATATGTTAGAATACTATTCACAACCATTTTTCCAACATTTGGTCAGTACTGAACATTGAAGAATAAAGGTACTTCCAAAGGTATTTCTAATGCATATATATATTTTAACCTGACAATTAAATTGTGGTTTTTGAGGCTGGTATAACAGCAGTCTCTTCCCTCAAATATTATTTTCTGTGTATTGATGCTTCCATAGCACATTGTTACTGGAATTAAATGGCTGATTTATATATCTATATCTATATCTATATCTATATCTATATCTATACCTATTTTTTTTTTTTAGGAATGGTAAACTTATTGAGGAAAATGAAAAATATGTCCTGAGAGGAAGCAATACACAACTAACAATAAGAGATATAAAAAATATTGATGCAGGTCCTTATATCTGTAATGCTAAAAACAAAGCAGGAAATGACAAAAAACAGACATTCCTTCAAGTTTTTGGTAAGTGCTGCATAATATGGTCTATCTTTCCTTTTAAAATGTAAACAGTAAGGAAATAGGTGTTCACAATTTTCAGTGAAATAGTATTTCTGTAAGGTGCCTGCTGATGTAGCAAAATGCTTTCTGTAAGATTTTACATCTTTTCTCCCTGCTGGCTACTTAAACCTTTACATCTGAACTTCATTTTGGAAAGCTTATCTTCAGCATTTGCTTTTCTGCTACTCACATGCAGTACAAAGGAGTGTTAAATAGTTAATTCTGTCTGGTTTTCATTTAGAAGTTGACTGCTTGCAAGAAAACCAAGAGGAGAGAGGGGGAAATTCTAAAAGGGGGAAAAACAGGCTATTTTGACTTCTAAGAAGTGAGGGGTTTTAGTAATGCAATTCCATGCAGAGATTTTCTTCGGGTTTTTTTTCCTAATTTTTCTTTCTTAACTTCTATTTTTTAAGTGCACAATTGCAGACATAGTTACAAAAATATTGTGTGCCCTGAATTTCAAAGGATAAAAGTAATAAACTCAAAACTTTCTATGCACATCAACCACTCCAACTGTGTTAATGATTCCCTCCTTTACATAGAACTGATAATTTATTTGAGGTTTTGTTAAAATATAACCAAGTGAGAGTAGATATTTGTGTGAATGTAGAAAACTTCCCTCAGAATCACTGCGCAAGAAAAAAGGCTGTAACTTACTTATGAAAAACCTACAAAAATGAATGTCTCGAGTTTTTTTACATTAAATATATCTTGTATTATACAGAAAATAATTTCTATTTGAACAGTTAAATGCCATACTTAGGACAGAGGAAATTAACTTCCCAGTTAAAAAAAAAAATAAAAATTAATGTTTAGCATTAATTCCCAACTAAAGGTAATAATAATTTATAAAAGTTAAAGTGTTCTAACGAGAGAGAGTAATCTGATAATTTACATTGAATAGGGCAGATGTTGGATTATATAATGCTGGCATTTGGGGTCTGGAAGCCTGAGGCTGAAGTCATGGTGTCAGGTGAACATGGTTGTGTTCTCATGCATCCCACCATCTCCTCTTTGAGAAACTCTCATGAAGTGTTGTCTCCAGCTCTGTACTTCAGGTGGATTGCCTAACCATTGGGCTGTTGCTCTTAGGTACTTGAGAGTTATTCTCAATTTCTTTTCAAAGGAAAGAAGATGAAATAAAATCTTAAATTTTATCCCAGCCTCAAGAAGTATAGCATCTTGGTTTTTAAAACAGAAATATTTTGTTAAACTGTATTTCCAAACTTTAAAAAAAAAATAAATTGAAGGAATAGAAATTACTTTCAAATTTTGATATTAATTTAGGGAAGTTTCAGTCTGAAATAACTGTGTGTGTTATTCAAGTTTGTGTTACTCAATTTTAGGTGTGCCTGAAATTTGCTTGGTTTTTGCCTACAGCAAGGAAATTTTTTAATGAAAGGGATAGGGAAAAGGAGACACCAGACTAAGAGTGCAGATTTCCTGTATATTTTTTCATCTTTTAGCAACTACTTTTCTGGAGACTCCATGGAAATCTAAATCCTAATGTTTTTATGGATATAATAAAATATATAAAAATAGCTGGTTAAATACCTTATGAATCTACACATCCTTAATGTTTTCATGACATCTTAAACTCCTGAATTTCTTACGTCCTTTCTCATATGGAAAATAATTTCTGTTGTTTAAGTTTCCACAGAACTCTCTAGAGCATCTCCCACATCCCTGTCCTAAGTGGTCATAGCTAATTTGTAGTGGAGAGGGGTTTTAATTTCTCCTACAATAAACTTTACTTTTATCTCTTTCACACAGATTAAACCCCCAGTCATATATAAAGCCAACAACTACTTATCTTTTTCCATTAAATGTGTCAAAAAAAGCAGTCTGAAAATGGCAAGGCAGATGGCTGTTTATTATAGCTAAATAGTACACAAACAACTAGTTTATGTTAAATTGACCTATTAAATTGCATTTTTCTCTCCCACTTCATTAGCTTATTTGTCTCATATGTCTGCAATCTTTAATTTTAATTTACAATGCAAACTCCTTAGGGCAACGAATACTGTTTCTACAACATGGCTCTGGCAGTGTTGATTTTCGTAATAACAGTAATATAACCATAATGCAATAAAAATAATAGTAACATTATAGAATTCAGCACTTAAACTTTCTAGAATGTAGGACTTTTGGATAGACATGCCCATCTGAGTGCCATGCAATAGCTACATATTTAGTTTCCATGCATGAACTGGATTCTTTAGTTTAACTTTGGGGCTTTTTTCAGTATCAATGCTAAAAACCCTATTTAATTCTAATATAAAATCCTTACTCTGACAGTTCTGCAGTTCTGATACATGTGTGGAAACCTATAGGCACATACCCTGCCCTCCCCAGTTCATCTGTATTAGTACTTTGTTCTGAAGAGAGAAAAAATCTGTCTCAGTCTTTCTTGATATGATTTGATTATCTGTCTGTCACCCTCTTATCTGCCATATCTCTTTTCTGTGTCATTAGCAACTACTATCTAAAAGATCTCATCTTGATTAATAATTAGAACTTGTGCTAAGGTTTTTAATTCAAATTCATTTATGTCTACTGCTGAACAGCTTGAAACCGTAGGTGTTCATCCATGAATTCTTTAAAAGTTTTTTTTTTGTATTTATCTCTATTTGGTAGCTATCTCTTCCACTTACAATGTTCCACTCTATTTTTATTTATTTTTTTTTTAAGTAGTATCTAGCCATGTTTATAAATATGTGTGTTTAGATACATCTAAATTATTGTTTTCACTTAAGAAATAGAACATTTTTACATCTATGGACGACCCAAAAAAATTTCCAAAAATATTTAACTTATGTTCTTAAATCAACTGCCTGTTGATTTGAGAAAAGTCAATAAATTCCTTCATTTCTTCATTCCTTCATGTAGAAGCTTCCTACATCTTCTTACTTTCTCCAAAGTAAACATTCATTTCTTCATCATTCCTTCTCCAAGGTGATGGCAGTAGTCTTCATTTATATTAGAATTAAAAATATAATTAGACTAAATTAAAAAAGTTAGCTTTAATTAAAGATATATTCATGCTTGATATAAATAGTGTTTATATTCCTAAGATTTTCATTTTTTTACTCTAGTTGCTAATTTCTACTTCTTTATCACTCAAATGTGTGGTTATACAATTTGATGATGCTTAGAGCTGAGCTTTTCAACAAGTATTCTACTTTCTGTACTTAGGCCACAGAGAGCTACATCTATATGTTTCATAATTTGTTTTCATAGAAAGAAAAAATATTATTTCTTTAATCAGAATTGACAAAAAAACCATGAGAGGGAGTTCTAGCATAATTTAGTTTGAAGTTCTCCATTATATAAGTGTTTTCCCTACATAATCAGTGAGCGGGCAGTATGATTAATATTTTATTATGAAAGTATTTCATTGGCATTTCAGTGGGTCCTGACAAATGACTTCATGAAAATTAAATGAGGGGATATCTCAAAAAGTATTACAAAAGACACTTTGTACTTAATACAAAAAATATAATATAAATAATACAAAAAATATAATAAAAATAGTTTAAATACATACTATTTTTTTTCTTGATGCCTTTTTAATTATAATCTGAATATTGGAAAAGTTTTTTCAATGTGTTCAATGCAATTTTTATTGAGAAACTATATGCTATTATTAATATATTTTTTGTCTTCAGCCAGATAGGAAGAAATATTATGGAACTCTCCTCTCCTATCTTATCTCTCTTGAGTTTATTCCAAATGCTAAAAATAAAAATTTTATGTTAATTTAGTCCTTCAAAATCCATTCATCTTGGAACCAAAAAGGCCGTATTGTGCCTCTGAGATTGGGGTGAGGCATTGTCTAAATTTTTTCCTTATTTTCAATCTTAATGCTGTCCTTTTTACAGTGCCTGAAGCATACCTTAATAAATTTTTTTGGGGCATAGTAAGCAGATTTATATGTGTTTTAATATGCCTTTTGTGGTCCATTTTGTTTGTCCATGTAGATGTTATTCTATACATATGTGGAAACTTTCCATTTAAGTTCACTGATACCTCTAGAAGGAGACTCCCATGGATCTGTCTATGCAGCTATGTGTACCTGCTCCTCCCAGATATTATAAAGGCCACCAACTGCAGCTTCACAAAGCACAACTCACAGATGGAATGTTAAAAGTTCACATGTTTTCTGCATTCCTTTTTCTTCCTTATTACTTCTTCACCTTTTTGGAATACTTCTACTTTTTAAAATAAAAAATATTCAATCTGTAAAGACAGTGATGGCAGTTTTCCAAGAAGGCAAGTCTTACACCCCTCTGAGTGTGAAGTAGTAATAGTATTTTGACATATTTCAATAATACCATCCAAAAAGAGAGTCAGTTCATGGTGCGCTAAGTCAGGTTAGCGTTTCATTTTGGTATATGTGTGAATCCTTACCATATAAAGAATCAAATTTCTGAAATCTCCTTCTTAGATATTTCCATGTTGGGCTCTAGCATGTTTCTTAAGTTCAAATTGTACCAGGAGTTTCCATGAGGACGGGGTTGCAGTTTTGCCACCTGATTCAAATGTGTCTGTGCAGGAGGACAGCAGGAAGGTATGATTCCTCCTGGGATACATTAATCAAGAGATTAATCAGGCAGCCATACAGACACACATTAGGCCTCTCACCAGTAGAACCAGGCTTGTATCAATATCAAGCTATTAAAAATAATTCTTTTGATGAAACATAAGCAGGATTATCTCAAGCTTATATGTGTTGCTTCCCACATCTGATGAAACTCCTTGTTAAGGTATGAGTAAAACTCTGAATTCATTGTGTACCTTTTCCAAGAAACTGGTTGTACTCAGACTGCTATCTGTGTTCATCATAAGCTTTATGGGGAGGCTGTATGTACACAGCAATGAGACAAATCCAAAACAGTCCAAGGAAGGAATCTGAGAGAAACTTGTTTACTGAGGAAATAGTAGAAAACTTAAAACCAGCCTTCTTGGCTCAGAAAACAAACATAAATAAATGTTGCTTCTTTATTTGGCATCACTCTGTTTATATTTAACAGTGCATGTCTAGTAATAATAGCTCCTTACCTTAAATAATTTTAATGAAGTTTAGCTCCTTTCTATAGTCAAGCATTCTTTCATTTGAGCCAGGTCATTTAGCTTACAATTGTTTCAACTATATCACAACATCTATATTTCAATATTTTTGACTGAAGAAAGCAGCAAAACCCTGAAGGTTTTCTAAATTTGCATTCTGAGGCTCTCTATTTTTTTTGCTTCATATTTTTGTAGAATACAAAAAAGCAAATATCAATTTAGTTTGAGAATGACCTTATCAATTTAGAAAGAACAGTTAAAAAATTGGGGGTGGG